TTTTCCAACCTAGAAATCTATGAATCTCCATCCTTGGAGGATTTTAAGACCCAACTGGATAAAGCCCTGAGCAATGTGATCTGCTCTTATAGCTGACCCTGCTTAGAACCAGAAATTGGACTAATGACTTCCTGCGATCCCTTCCAACTTGAATTATGGTCCTAAGGCAATAACAGCCCCATGTCAAGTACAATCTCATTGAATTTTACTCCCCTGGCCTTTCTAAGTATACATTGAGATTGTTTGTTGTCCAATACAATTTCTGCCACATTGTTACAAAATTAATACAGCAGGTTCTATTCCAATTGGATTAGAGACTGTGCTTATTATTTGGCATGAAATCTATGACACAATATGCAATATGTTGTAGGTTACCATTAGTTTTCACAGTGCCTTGGAGAAACAGTAAAAATTAAAAGAGAGTGTAATTCCATCAAGTGTAAGTTTCTGCACGCAGGCAGGAAGAATCACCTATGAAAAATCCAAATGAGATGAAGTAGTGGTTCTTCAGAATAGTATCTGAAATTAACAACGAATCTCAAGTCAAATATGAATAAAGAAATTCATGCTAATATTAAGAGGTCTAATTTTTCTTAATAAAGGTATCCTCTGCAAGACATGAATTAATTCCTCTTTTCCACTCAATGCCAATAAGACACCAAACGCAGCATTGCATCTAACTGAGAGCACTATGGTTCCAGAGAGATATGGACTAAAGGTAGGAACTGGATTGAATTCTCATGTTTTACCTGAACACAGATAAAAGCAACACATATGATCTAATGTCTAGAAAACATTTTCTGTGAGAAAAGAGTGAAGAAATTGGACTTAGATGAGCTATAGAACACAAAATTAAGGGATGATCTGATAGGCCCTCTAGTAGGCAACAAGTAGTTTAACAGAGGAATGGAATAATTTGTTTTCCTTCTCTACTCTGTACAGGAAAAAATAACCTGGGCCCAGGCTACACCAAGACTATTCAGGTTAGATACAACAAAGAAATTTCAGAATAAGGACAAGAAAGTAATGCAGTAGGTCATCACAGACAAATAAAGAAATTTCCTTTATTGGACAAACTGGATAAACATCTGTCAGGAATTAGGCAAGTGCCACCAACACTACCTTAGGGAGAGGAATGGATAGATAACTCAATGATTTTCTTATGGTTCTATGAATAAGATAAGCTATGATATCAATCCTTTGGGTTTCTCTTAATTGTAGGTTGCACTAATATTTTCTTTTTTTTTTGCTATAGGCTTGATTACAGTTATGTTCATGGGCATCAGTAGCTATGGACTGGTGTGTAACATGCTGGTAGATTATTGGGTTTTGTACTTGCCCAAGTTGGTATTAGGTATCAAGTACTGAAAAGAATTTTGGTTTTATGAAATTAGGTTTACTTCAGTTGTAGCCAAGCTTGAGTACTTTGCTTAGTTACATAGACAAACATTTTGCATGGATTTTCAAGAGTTATTATAAATGCTACCTAATATATGAATTACACGATTTTACTAGGTCTCAAATCCAATTTCTGATATTCTCCACTTGCTTTGTCTTATTCACATCAAAAACATTGAGAAAAAGCCATCTTACATATTTCCACATGTGAAAAACTTCATAGATCTTATTCCTTCAAAAATGCAATTTTATCATGCAATTTTAATAAATGCAATTTTAACAAGCTTTTCTCAATGCAACATATTGTATTGTCCATTCCTGGTATAATGTTCTGGTGCTCACACTTCTATTACGTGAAGAATCATAAGTTGAGTGTTATTAAATTCATGAATTTAAAGTTTGAACTGAAAACTAAGCCTTCTGCTTGCCCACAGACCCTGGTGTACAGAGTAGAACTTACTATTTTCTTGCAGTATTCTACAAGTAATTTACATTGTCCTTAACAGTATTATGATCATGCCACTGTTTAATTTCAGTTCAACTTTATTTCTTGAATGCAATTCTGTTTTCTTCCCTTGAACAATGCTAAAGGATTCTTTGAAGCCTAGTACATTCACAGATGTCCCAGTATCAATTTGGCATTCAATTTCCTGTTTCCATGCTTTACATGTGGTGGTACTCTACATTTTAGAAACCATTTAAATTGCACTATATTAATAGATAGTGTAAAATCTCATCCCTCCTGCCTGACACTTCTTGCTTGCTTCCATAGTATAACACATTTATTTTCTTTCTTCATCTGTGAGCTTCAGCATCAATATTCCCTTTTGACAAAGTCACTGAATATGTCCCCATGTGCTGGGCATTTTCTGTTATTATGGTATTTTTTCCTGTAACCAGAGATCTTCCTTTGCACTTTCTTATTTATGAACTTAATTTTGCACTAGCTTTGGTGCATATAGTTTGCATTTACGTACTTTTATACACCAATTTCTGTTATTTCTGTTGCATCTAGTTGTTCTCTGAACTTATTTTGAACAACAGAGGCTGAAATCTAAACTGTACAAGCAAAAAAAACCTCCAACAACTATTTCTTATTCCTTAAAGATCTTAACCTTGGGAAGACCTTGTTTTTTCAGCATTTAGGGCTACACAGTACAGGAAGCCAAGGAATATTTTTAAGGAATAGACTGTCTCTACATGTTGCCTATAGACACTACATCAAAATTACAGAACTTCAATTAATAACATACAAATTTCATCAACCGTTTAAAGCTGGGGCAGAACCTTGTTAATGCTGAAGCACAACAATCAAAAAAACTAAGCACATATCCTTAATTTCATGGGATTTACAATGTTGTATGTTGTAGTTCCCATTAAAACACTTTTCTGTAGCATTTTGAAATACTGGAATGCAGAATTAGATACCCTATAATAGAGAATTTTGATTTTTATAAAAAAATAATATACAGGTTCATATAATGTATGTAGAACAAGTTGATTTCATAACAGCCTGCTATTGGAAGGCATGTTCCCAAGTTAATTACACTTCATTTGCGTCCAAGTTAAAAATTCTATTTATGAACTATTCAATCTGTGGGATTTGGACCTCAAGCATACTCAAAGCAAAAGGCTGAAGAGTCAGACTGGACATGCCTAATTTCCCTCATACGTGCAGGGTAGATAGCAGATATAATGGGAAACCATAGAGAAGCACAAACCGGAGATGCAGTTCCCAGGACACGAAGAGCTTCTTAAATCCCTTTTCCTCATAATTCATTCTAACTGTGAATATCTCCATAAGACAGAACTGAGAAGATACTTGTAGAGTTTTTTTATATTATTATCTTATTTTATTATTTAAAACTGCCCTGAAGAAATAAAGAATGCCACTGTTCTTTCGAACAGTTCTGATTATGTGAATACTAAGAGAAAAGGTTACTTAGAGTTCTTACTAAGTGATTAGTTTTCCTTTATATCTTTACAGGACCTTCATAATGACAGTCTAAATTTAGTGCTATGGCCGCTCATAAACCATTAGGAACAACATAAATATTTTCTTTATAAATGGGAAGGTAGAAGATCCTGAAAAATAATTCTGGTTGGGATGTGCGGAAGTAAATTATGTAAATTGCTGTCAGTCATCCATGTATTCATTTCACTAGCAAAATAACATTATAAATGATCTGTAGCCAACAATTCTTCACTTGAAGACATGCAATGCAAATATTTATTCAAAACAGAAAAAGAAAATCACTTAAGGATAAGCATAAGTCTTACCACACCAATAGAAAAGTAGTTATTGATGATGTTGTAAGGCACTGGGTCTCCTTTCTCATCTTTATCATTGGGTATCACTTCGAATTTCCACCTGTCCAGCAAAATCTCTGAGCTGTTCTCAATGTCTTTTAAGATCTTCATCAAATTCTCCCCTTCATAACCTAGCAAAACATGAAAATGGTTATTTAATCAAACAGAATAAAGTTTCATTCCATTTTCTTTCTCTTTCTAGATGACTAGAAAAATGAAAACTATGCATTTAAGACCTGGAAATCAGGATTGTATTTGAAGTATTAAGAATTTTCCAGCACCTGTCATTAAAAGGAGTACAAATACAAAGCTGACTTCTGCACTCAGCTACATTAATGTAAACTTAGATTAATTCTACAGATTTCACTGGGCATCGGATTTATATCTTCAAAACTTGCCAATCCCTCGAATTTTCCAAATAATTATAGCAGTTATCCAAAAGCTAAGGTTATACTTCGCAAAACGCTCTTATGCAAATTCCTTTTATTTCAAAATTTATGGAAAAAGACACACAGTAGATTTGTCTGATTGAAGTCTGACATGAGACTGAAAGGTTAAAAGCTGTCTACTATTTTTTGTTGACTGTTACAATGTGGTTTAGCACAACAAATATAAAATTTGAAATCCATAACTGATGACTTATCAGCAGAACTAACGTTTTTCCATCTTTCAACAACTCCTTCATGAATCTCATCCTGCTCTATAGAGAGATCTTACTCTTCCTTGCTAAGAAACACTCACATGTCTTTAGGTGGTAGTAGTAGTTCACTACACTTTATACTAAACTGTAGAAAAGTTGTGTCCACTTGGGAATGTGTGAACAACATACAGTATATGTGTGCGTGCATAATTTTTTTTTGTTGTTTTAGTCACTTTTTACTAAGTGACATTTTCAACTCTGAATGCTATTCATACTAAATGACTTCATAATAGATAACTAAGATCTAAGGACTCGTTCCTTCTTCAAAACAGAAATAAACTTCCATATTCAAGCAATATCTACTTCCTGGGTCATCAACAGTTTTAGCAAGCAAAGCCATTCAAAGCCTCCCTACTCAAAACCCACTGCTGACGTTATTTCTTTATGGTTGCATAGTATGCTTTTGTTAGTTACTGCCAATGACCACATAACAGCAGCACGCACAATTCCATTTGTCCGCATCCCTGAGATCACTCACAGCAATTTAGTTTCTGGAAGCCCTGTCTCCTCTCCTATCTATGGAATTTTCAGAAAAATCTGTGTTACGGCATTTTCTGCCTCAAATCAACTGGGCAAAGAATGATGAAAGTCAGAACATATTCATACTGTCTTTTTCTACTTCAGTCCAGGTGGAATCCCTCAAAACAGAAGGTAAATAAATAAAAGTGAATGGAAGGACAGGTCCTGACTAATGTAATCAAATGGTCTCATAGCTGACCCTGCTTAGAACAGGAGATCTGACTAGCAACTTCTTGTGACCCCTTCCAACCTGAATTATTCCATGACTCTACTCTATGAACTGTTGAGAAAGTTAAGCAAGGCTGATTTTATTGGGTTTTGGGTTGTCTTTTTCTTCTTTTCTTTCCTAAAACTATGTGAATAAATGAACACCAGTCATGACAGAGAAAATAAAGGAGGTCCTCAAATGATTTGACAGAACATTATGGTTAAAAAAGAAGTTCTAACTGAGAATTTGCTAAAGACTATCTGGTAAAAAGGCACACATTTGGAAAGGAAACATGCTGTGATGAGATAGAAGAAGAAAGAGACATTTACAAAAGCTGTGAAGTTCCAAATAAACAGCCAAGTTCTAAATACGCAACATCTCAACTGAAACGACCAACTGAGATCTGAAACAGAACTGGCTGTAAGCCCATAAATTGACATGCTTTCACCAGAGAGTGAGTCTTCCCTTAGACTTTCTTCTTTGTGTCTCCTTCAAGTTATCCTATAATGCAAATCTTGAATGGAAATAAGTTATTGGAGGAGCAGAGAGTAAGGCTTCATACATCCAGGAAAGGATGCAAAGAGTATTAAAGGTTTGACTTTTCATATATTCTCCTTTCTGCATTCTTTGCCTTCTCATTTCCTGATAAATAGCACCACAGCACTTACTGTCTGGAATTCTCTGGAGAAGAGGAGTGGATGAAAAGAACTAGTCTGAGGCTGAGACACATTTTTCATTTAATGTTTATGAATATTAAAAAAGATTAAACCACTCCAAACCCATTATTAGTTGTTTTCAGTAACTCTTTCAGAACAGCCCCAATTAAAATCCATTTAAGAATACTCCCTTCATAAGGTATTGATCAAAGAAGAAACTGCAGTACAGATAGTAAAAAGTCAACCAAATACCTATATACTACTCTGATCGCACCTTGGAGCCTTTTTGGTGTCAGCAGAAGCTACAAATAAGGTATGAAGGGTGATTAAAAACTTTAATATCTATAAAATCATTCATATAACATTTACAGACAGCTAATTCCAAAACAAGGAAAAGTGAGAACGGTTCTTTACATAAATCATAAAAAAGAAATCCAAATGTTGAGAGTAGACTTTGATGTAAAAGTTATTTTTTCCTTTTAATTACATAATGACTTGTATTTTAATTTGTGTTTACCTCCTCCCCATCTCAGACACCTTGCTAAATCATTGCCAGTTCCAAGAGGCAGGATTGCAACTGGAGGATGCTTAATCAAGTTCGCTTTCTCTGTGAATAAAGAAGGAAAAACATAACTAAGGAACAAAAAATTCTAATTGTATGGTACTGATACAGTAACCATGTAAAGTTTTGTTTCAGTGAAAGACAGTGATATACGTTTTGTGTATGAGTTACGCTGTCTGCCCAGCAACAAGCATTTCACCAAGCCACTCCATTATGCAACTCCTTCCACAGTCAATATTCAATCCTTAATCCTAGTTTACCCAATCGTTATCACAAGGACTTTTGTAACCCATAGATGTCATAAACATTCATGAATGATACTGAAGGCCTTTCCAAGACTGAACATGCTGTGCTCTCCATTGCTGTCAACTCTGCCTTTCTCAGCTATGAATACAAAAGAGTAATAGTTAAGGGCATGAATAACAAGACGAATCTTGTACTTTTTCATCTGGGTGATGAAATTTGTGTTTAATTGTGTTTTCACTTGGATTCATGTCTACACATGACCACCATTACCAAGAACTCCCTGGAACTAACACCAAAGGTTTGCCCATGAGGAATTAAACCTGTTATTCAAAATGAGCATTGATATATTTGATCAAGTCTCCAAGTCAATATTTTGTATTTAATAATTAAGTATGTCTTTTGACTCTTTACCGGTACTATTCTAGCATTTAAAGCCAAAGGATCTCTGTTCAGAATCCAATGGGAAAAACTTTGTTAAGGAATACAGCCTTTCTGAAATTTGCAAGCGAGATAGATATCCCTCAGCTATAACATTTCAAATATATAATCTATCAAATCCCCCATTTAATTGGAATGAGTAGCATGCCTAGTTTAAAAGTTATACTTGACTAGTTAAACAATCAGCTATTTTGTTCATAGAATTATGTACAATTATCAGCAACTCTCAGTAGGAGTTTTCCAATGGATGTGGCAGGTATACCTTGTTGTTTATCAATTTCTCCCTTCAATTCTTCAGGAAGGCTTAGCATTTCCAATATCACAATATCAGTTCACTACTAATCTTTAAGAGAATTTAAAATTTAATAGAATAGTAAATAAATCAGGTTTAAAAGTCTCAAATTGAGGAGAAAAAAGTTTGGTTAGGTGGGTTTTTTTTACGTGGTTTGTTTCTTTTTTTTTTTTTTCCTTCTTGCTTTGCTCTTGGCTAAGACTCCTTGTATATTAGGAGACGAGGAAAGAAAAGATCCAACTGGAAAGTGTCTGTCTCTCAAAACAGGTAAATTAAACTTTATGTGCACAACTTGTGCCAAAGGGCTTTGTTCGCTAAAAGACAGCATTTAAAATCACTTTCCTCCAACTACGAATCAAATGGATCCTGGATCCTCCAAATCATTCCTTAGTCTTGTACCACAGAAATTGCTGCAGAAGATAGTATTTTAGTAAGACAAAATGCAGTCTTTTGTTCAAATAATGCCACTGAAAGAGAAAGAAGCTGCATAGCATTTTAGACCTCATGGAAAAAAGTGATTACACAATAAACAGCTGCAAAACTTCACCCTTTCCAAGTTTAGGCAATACATTTGTTATTTATGTACATTGACTTATGATTTTGAACACTATTTGAGAGTTACAATCAATGGCTTATATTTGCAAAAAGCGGGTTTTTTTCAAACCAAGATTAGAAACATGCATTTGCTGTCATCCGTTCCTCCATTTTTCCTTTTCAATAAACTTTAAAAGGTATTCTAGTTCACACCTCCCACAAAGCACACACTTCTAAACATTCTTCATCCAAACCTTCAGTTGATTCTTTTGACCTCTCTTCATGTCCTTCCTAATTCCCCTCATCACACATTGCCATTTTATTTTTTTTCTCTGCAGCCCCTCTAACGCCAAATAAATGATCACACAGTGCGGAAGATATTCTACTTAATAAGCCTTGGGAAGTTTAAGTTTGTAACATCTTAACTTCTGGGCCTTCCTAATGATTTGTACAGAGGACTTTACAGTCAGCTGACTGAAAGAATGCCAAAACTGAAATGGCTGTTAGCTCATTATCTCCATTATGGGAAAATGGAGCACAAACAAAAATTTGGTAACTGGAAAAACAAACAAGCTAAGATAAATGGTCTTAAAAGAAACAACTTAGATTTGATTCAATTTGAGGAATAGAATTTGAACTGAAATTAAATAAGATTGATTGAAATTTCTCACTTTCTAGAAATACAGAGGATTACAAACACTGGACTTGCCTAAGGATTTTCAATATTATTTGTGATTTGAATACCCTTAAAAATAATTACGTCGCAAACTAATAAGTTTCAAAAATTTAAATGAACAAGATCTTGTTTGAAACAGCCATATCCGTACTTTTGTATATAGAGAAGAGCAGTAAAATAAAAAAAAAGTCAATCAAAACTATGTAAATGCTATTGATTACCTATGCAATCCAAAATCCAGCCTACTGTCCCATCTCCACCACATGCTAGTACTCTGAAATCAGGAACATCTCGGAAAAAGTTTAACCTAAAAACAGTAAAGGAAGATACCTATTTTATTATCATAAATGCATTGTGCATTATGCAAACATTTTATGGCTTAAGACATTTCATTTAATAGCAAATGACAAGTGAACATTTGAAATAATAATCACCTCTGTTCATACATTCATTTTTTAGACAATTACAATCCAACATTGTATTATCTGAAAAATTTAATATGAAACAGTTCAATCAAAGGTTATTATGGTAGACTAATCATAGAAATAGTTTGGACCTGATGGTTAATCCAAATCTTTGCCTCAGTTCAAACCTTGTTTGAAACTATTGTCAGAAAACATTCTCTGTTTACCTAGTTGTAAATGGATATATAGTCTCTCAAGACAGAAAAGTCTAGGGTGGCTAAATGTATTAGCCACAACATTTCTTTGTGAAGTGCTGGCTATGAAAGCACATGAAAATAGCATATTTCTGATGGTACACTAATACTGAATAAGTTGAGCATTTTGTGGTTTGCACTATGGTTTAATTAAAAATGAGTAAGCATCCGATTGAATGCAGCCATTCCATCATACTACAAACGATATTTTAGAAATGAAAGACCTTTGGCAATATTTGCCTGGCTATTTCTGCTTCCATATCCATTGAGTGCTGGACAGTATCACTACCTTATCAGACATTTCATTCAATACCAATATTCCATAATGCTGAAAATTAAAGCAGTTCTAGGTTGCAATATTTTAAATTTAAAAGCACCTTTTCAGGATAGCTTTTGACAAATACTGAAATTAGTCCTTACTCAAAAATGATGACTAAACAAAAACATCTATATGTGTGTATGTACATTCACATACATTGTATTCATTAGTGTCACAGACAACTTAATGCATAGTCTATATGCTAGTGACCAGATTTGATTTCCAGTTAGCAATCTCCTAACAAATGCACAATTAGCATATTGCACTCAAATTCTTAAATACAAATAAATATACACAATAACTTGCAAGTGCTTAATTCAACCTATTTTCTATATGAAACTTTAATGTTGCACAGAGAATGGTGTTACTGTTCCTAGAAAAAATTTACAAAAATCTCTCCAGGCCTCTCTATAAAATGGAAAAATCTACAGAGCAAAAGAAAGAGCATGGAAGAACAAAATGAAAAGCACAATGGTCAAAAAAACGTTATTTAAGATGTAGAAGATGACAACTTTTTCTTCTACTGGTTTTAGACCAGAATTTCAGGGTTAGCAAAGCTACGTAGAATTAAGCCCATACCATCGTTGTTTCTCTCCCTCTAATTTTCTCAGCTCAGAAGAGCTCTTAGACAATTTCTAGTGTCAAGTTCAATGTCTGAAGGATGCTTACTTGTTCTGTATTAAACCCTGCTTTGTCCTTCTCACCTCTTACATTCTACTTCACATATCTGCAGGACAAGTGCCATAGAATCTCTTCTGGTCTGAAACATAATGTGCCATATCTGACTGGGTACACACAAGGACCACATCTTCTAATAAGGACACGTGCTGAAACATCCTCTGCTGGAAGTCACGTCCTACCACTGTAGGAGTGGGCACTGAGGCATGCACTGGCCCACAGGTGTGCATCTCTGTCACTTCTCGAGATATGGGAAAGAGACAAATGCCTCCCATCACCAGCACTCCCACTTCGACCCAATGTGTCAGGTCTGTAGACAGTTAGTAGATCTGATCATAATGCTTCCAGTACTCAGGGTATTTCAGATTAATTTAAAATCAAATTATGGCCCAGAGGTGACACAGAGTACTAACTTCTATAAATTTGTAAGCATTTCCACCACATGTAACAGACGTCAAAAAGAAAGTCTAGAAGAAAAACAAACAAAACAACCAACACCAGAAATACAGGGTTGATGCTAGCCTTAATCCAGATAGACAGAATAGAGACCTAAATCTCTGTCTCCCTTTTTGTGAACAAGCATCCTCACCATATGGCTATCAAGCATTCTTCTTGATTTTATATTTAATCTTCGTCAAAAAAGTATAACTTTCCAAGAAAGAGGAGGATTGAAGAATTTGACAAAACTACATAGTCCAAAAAATTATCAATAAGCTTCATTCATATTCCCCCTGGAGCATTTTATATTCATACAGAGTGAATTTTCCGATTTCATAGTAGAGCATTAAGTTCACATGACTTTTTATAAATTTAAAAAGAAAAGTGACACACACATTCTATAAATATATGACATATAAAATACATAAATTATAATATACCTTACATTGTATATTTGCATATATAAATATAGTTTATATAAACACACTATAACAAGTATAAATATTTATAAAATCCAATTAATTTATAAAATGAAATACAGTTATATAATTATATATGTAAATAAATCTCATTCATTGAATTAGAATGTGGAGCCTACATCAAGAGTTGGTAAGGGAGCATGGTTTTCTCTTTACGAACTCAGTAAATGTTATAATTGTAAAGTAAGAATTTGACAGATTTCTTAATAGAACTTAAGGTAAAGAGTAAGTATTGTCTATCAGGATTGCTTTAGTTAATTAGTGTTTTAATAGCACCTGTTACCTCTTATCCACAGAACATTTTTATATCTTTTGGAAAAAAAAAACAAAAACAATTGATGGAGAAGAACTTAGTAAAAGTGGTTTGAAGTGGAAATAAAAGAAATGGAAGCCATCCTAAAGGCCTTGTGCACTGTCAGGCTGAGCTAAAGGACCAGAATAGAAAATTCCGTCTTATTTTCTTGAACTGAATTATAAAATTGTACAAGAATTCTAAATATATAGAAAAACAAACTGTAATATAAAAAGAGGAAACGGTATTTATGATGGGTCTCTTCCTCAAAATTTTTATCTCTACTTTTAAAAAAACTGATTATTTTTTAAAAACAATTTAGACTATTACGCTTTACATAGCACAATATAAAGATCTTATGACAAGTATGACTAAGTACAAAGAACAAATGTCCATTGTATCGATAAACTTTACAGAAATTATGTTAATAATCTTGACATAAATTAAATAGAACATGAGAAACAGGTAAATCAGATATGTTCAAAACATGTATTTTATTTGTGTCAAATTTGTACTATAATTCACACAATCATTTAACACACCACCACATTATTTTTGATTTTTTTTTTTAATTAACACAAACGCTGCCACTAAAAAAAATTCCCCTTTTATTTATGGATATCAGAATAGGTAGATATTCTTTTATATAGATTTGTTTTTTATAGACATTACAATGAAAAGCTTTCCTATGTCACTTAACCTAAATCAGTAGAGCTGGAATGATACATGAGGACATTAGGCTGATATAGTCTGTAACCCAAGTTACACCTATTCTTCAATCACTTGGAAAGTTCAGTAAGAAAGATCAGTAGAACTTCTACTAACATCTCCTACCACAGGACAAACAAAGCTCCTGATACATTTGGGAATAAAAGATGAAAAGCCACAACTATAATAATCCACAGGAAGACAACAAAAATGTACGGCTGCATACATTTTCTTTCTACCGAGAAAGGTCAATACAACCAATCCCTAAATTTGGATTACAAGAGATTACTATATTTTATAGTATTTTTATAATCAAAATTGACAAGATCATCTAATTCTTGACTGATGATCAAATTCTTGTATCATTAAACTGCAGCTTCTCTTTTTTAAAAATATCTCCCAACTTTTCACATTCAACAAATTTCATAAGCATACACATAGTTCTTAGTCCATGATCAATAATTAACATAGTAGGTGGGGTCAGTCATAAGACGGAGCTGGAAAACTTATCAATAGGTATCTTCTTCTCAATAGCTCCCTTGTAAATTAACCTGTTTTAGTCTTTCCTAATCCAGTTTCCTATCTGCTGCAAGTAAAACAAATCTAAACCACTGAAGATGTTTGATATCAGCCTGTTTTTTTTTTTTTTATTTTCCCAGACACAAGGATCACACATACTGGCAATTATTGAGTTTCTGCTGACAAATTAGGAATTTCCATCTGAAACATGGCAACCGCTTCAACTACCTATACTACTCTAATTCAGTTTCTTGTAATCATCTCATCAAATCCATATTAATGCAGAGAAACCATTTACGAATAAACCACCAACGCTAGAGGACATAACTATTTGCTGTTGAATCATGTATTTATTTGATTTATGTTATTACAATTTATTGTTATTGACTGTTATTATGATTTCTTGATAACACACATCCCACCCTTTATTCTTATAGAATAGTTTTAGGAAATCCTGTCCCACTCACAACAAACTGTTTTAAAAAAAAAGTTGCAATGCTTTCCATTTAGGTACCTGCACATGACTTTCTCGCATGCCCAGCACTATGCAGAGATTTCAAGTGCTCAGTCACACAAGGTGGCATAACAAACAGCACTGTGTGAAATGATTCGGCCAGTCGTCTTCACTCACAGTGGAAGCAGAAATTAAAACTGCCAAGTGCCCAAGCACAGAACAATCCACTGATACGGGTATATCAGGATAGGTATCAGTTAAATGTAAGGCAGATTGCAAATTATCAGTGAATATAAAAATACTATTTAACTTGGTAAATGTCTCCACTGCAGAGAAGATGAAAGTGCAAAAAAGGGGAAAAGAACTTAGTGTCTGTCTACATTACAGAAATTTTCTCTTACGTACTCTAAATGGTGTTAGAGCTACTTCAGCTCTTGTGTCTTAAACCCATGTTTTTACTGAGCTGCTTTTACAATTACAGAAGTAATATGGATTCAATTTTTGAAAAAGGATAATAATTTTGAAATAGATGATCAGTAAAATTTTTAAATACTTTTGCCTCATAGCTTCTCAGCCAGTATTACTACACACAGCACATGAACTTTGCCAATTACAATACTTGCATCTAATTGCCATCATCTGCAAGATACAGGACTTCAGAAGCTCTGCATTACAATTTATAAAGAAACTGTATTAAAAGTTACTTGTTATGACTTCTGTTTCAAAACTTCTTTCATCTAAGTAATAAAGTAAGCTGGCCTT